TGTCATCCGGACCCTGTTTAGATAGATGATTGTATTAACAGACAAACTGTGGTCTTGTCATCCGGACCCTGTTTAGATAGATGATTGTATTAACAGACAAACTGTGGTCTTGTCATCCGGACCCTGTTTAAATAGATGATTGTATTAACAGACAAACTGTGGTTAAGGGACTTGTTTGTTTATTGCAGTTTCATAGACATGTATATGCAAAAACTATAACTTATATTACTGAAAATTGTTCTAATTCTTATATTTATGTTATAAATAACATTATTTAGTTAATGTAATTAGAAGCGTTTCAGTAAAAAGAATCTTAAATTCTAACCCGAAATGCTTTGTTTGTCGTATCTCAAGGATGTGCTTAAATGTTAAGAAAAAAACAAAACTTCAGTACATCAGTTTCAAGAGTGCAAAGACTATCTATCTAAATAAAGTTGAAACAGAAAATGGGTGAAAACAATACAAGCTAGAAAATTGGAAATTTGACCAGGACAAATAAATAGAAATTAAAAATGTATACAATAAAAAGCAAGGAAAAGTGTAAAAAAAAATGGGTGATAAAATAAACTTTAATATTTTTGATATACTTTTTTCCCATGCATTTTACTAGTTTCATACATTTTTAAATTTATGTCAACTAATATGTCATTTTGATTTTCTTCACTTTACATTCTGCTAGAGAGACTATTTTAAATTTCCTAAAAAGAATGTAATACTGACAAGAAATGCCTTTGTATCTGATATTAAGTCATTTGGAAATCATAAAAGTCAGTTTCATTTGTGGTAGTTTGAGTTTTAAAAAAAATGTCTTACGAGTAAGTGTTTGTGGGTCAATCCTTTAGCTCAGTTAAAAGAGCACTTGTTTGATATGTGAGAGTCTCAGTTCTGCATCTGAGCTGAGGAAGTAAACTAGTGTCCAATGTGTGGCCTTGTTTGTGATAGATGAAGAATGTGCCAGTTTGAATTGTTGAAAAATGCCTTATTAGCAAGTGCAAGTGAGTTAATCCTTTAGCTCATTTGGAAGAGCACTCTCTTGGTGTGAAAGAGGAATTGGGTTTCAATCCAAACAAATGAAATAATAAAAATTTAAATTACTATACCACGACCTTGATACAAGTCCGAGAATAGACATTGTTCGTGAGGGGAGAAAGAACTTGGTACCTTTTAGTTGTTATAAAGTGCCTTACCAGCAAGCCCTTGTGGGTTAACCCATTAGTTCAGTTGTAAAACACTCACGTGGTGTGTGTGAGGTCTCAGGTTTGAATCTGAGCCTTGGAAACAATAAATAAAATTGAAATTGCCACAAAATAAACTGTCATCCAATGGGGGACCTTGTTTGTGATAATGGGAAGAATATGGTAGTTGTGCCTTATTAGCAGATGGTAATGGGTTAACCCTTTTAACCCAGTTGGTAGAGCACTCATCTGGTGTCCAGAAATCTTTGAGGAATTGTACTGGTATAAAATCTCTGAAGTATGTTATTATGGTTTTTCTTTTCTGTTCTGCTTTTAGTTTTTAAGCTCATCCTTTTCAAATAATCTGGGGTTTAAACAAAATGTGTAAGTACTTGGGAAGGAAGTCTTATTCTAAAACATGTTATCAGTTCATTTTTGTTGTATTCTAATGAAATACAGTGTAAAGTTCAACTGAAAGCAAAGGAATGATGTGTTTGCTAAAATCTAACTTATGAAAAAGCCAGTGTGTGTCATGTCATACTTGATTTCTCAAAAAAAAAGAGGGATCATAAAATCCAAAATGGATTTATCCAGATAGAATAGTTTGATTACTGTCTGCCCATTACAATTTTAGTGAAGGGGGTGCAAGGGGACTGTGAGGAGGATGGTGATGTGAATCACCTAGCCTAGAACCATGTGCATAAAATTTATAATGAAAGTAAAAATATTGATTCAATTCTAATCTTAAACTGTTTCTGAATTAAGCTATTTTCTCTTATTTTGCCAACATTTTTAATAAAAACAAACCTATTTAACCAATGGAGACTAAATTAATAAATCAACAAATATTTTTCTAGTTTTGTTGTCTATACATTTCATTTTATGCTTTCAGTACATACACAAACAACAATATTAGGTTATATCTTTGTTGATAAGCAAAATGACATAAAAGCCATTGTTGAAATGTAGTGTTACCAAAATGCGCTGGCTTTTCTATATATATTAGAAGTTGTTAATTTAACTTATATTTACCAATATGAATATGTCACAAGTTCATTTCATGAATGATCTTAGTTATGATTGGCTCACAAAGGAAGTTACTGACAATCGACTCCCTCGACTGCACTCTTCTGCCTCTTTTTTGGTCAAGCTTGATTTCACAAACTTATTTATTCTAGTTAGCTATGATCTATGAGGTTAGGGTATACTATGGGGGTGGTAGTACTTGCCCTAGTCACTTTTGGTAGGCTTTACGCTTGTAGAATACAAGTCCCAGTTGTGTTTTGTGGTTCAAGTAATTATGGAGAAATATTAAGTTGCAATAATTTTATATAACTGGCTAGATAGAGGATCAGATTACTTCTGCATTTGAACTGAAGCAAAATAATTAGTTAAAATATTCATGGCAATAAACTTGGAGTATCATAGGTCAGTTTGAGACTGACAAAAAAGGTGTTCTGAATAGTATAATATAGAGAGATTGTAAACTTTAAATTTGATAGTAGTGTTTTTGGTTATGCATTTCTTACCCTACAGGGAAAAAAAGTAATCATATGCACCAACATCCCAAACCAAAAATTAGAGCTCTTACGTATCGGGGGCCCAGCATGGCCACGTGGTTAAAGCGCTCGACTCACAATCTGAGGGTCGCGGGTTCGAATCCCCGTCACACCAAACATGCTCGCCCTTTCAGCTGTGGGGGTGTTATAATGTGACGGTCAATCCCACTATTCGTTGGTAAAAGAGTAGCCCAAGAGTTGGCGGTGGGTGGTGATGACTAGCTGCCTT